AATTTATGATTTGTATTTTTTATTGTATATTAAATTTATGTTGTTTTGTTTTAAATGAATAAATTTTATAAAAGAAAAAAACACAATCTCCTCCTAAACCAAGGAACTCCATCAATCGAAGAGCAGTTATGCCAACACAACAAGAAGTTCCACCTATGTACTGCAAAGACCCCAAATGGAATTCATCCACCCCCACCCAAGAAGGACAGTGCAAGAGTTAACAAGTGATAATCTTAGAAATGGTCCTTCTGTGTCAGATTATGTTTATGCAGTAAACAGATACTTTAGCTATGAGTGTGACCCAGTCTGCATCAAGTTGTTTGGTTCTTTGCAGTGGAAAAAAATGAATTCTGCAAGAAACTGAAGAGGCTTATTTCTCAATATGTCAAACTCTCTTGCTTTAAAGGCCAGGCTGGACATTTATTTCTTTTTTCCTTATTGACCCAGGCCAGCAGCATCTCAGCCTGTAAATTCCAGCTCCTCCTCCTGCCTTACAGCAAGCAGCCAGGCACCATCATTCAATTTCAAAGACATAAATCTTTCATCTTTCTGATTTTTTTTTTTTTTCATATAGCTTGAAAGTAAACTAGTGATGTACAGGAACAGCTGACTCAAAAAGTAGATTATTCTTTTCTGAGGAGCACTTTCAGAGCAAATCAAGACCCGATTTACTCGACTCCAGTTTATTTTTTAAATAAGGTTTTCTWCTGTTTGCCAGTCAAACAAAAATAACTTTTTTTAAATCTCTTCCTGATGTGCAGCTTTTATTCATGCCTCTGTTTGAGCAAGAAAATGGATCATCTTAAGAATGAAAACATAACAGCTTGTTTGACACATGCCCACTTTACCAAAATAACAAAAGAGCTTTTTTGTGAGGATTTGTGTTTTTGTTGTTCTGTGTCTTCCCTTTGTCACCACCTTTCAGTTCTCCTCGGCTAGTTTCTAGGACATTCTCAGCAAACCATCCTCACCTGTCTTCAATCCCTAATCAGCTCTCCCTCCAGCTGCTTGTAATTTCCCCTCTCCTTCAGTCAGTATTTAATCCTGGTTCAGTTCTCACTTCCTCACTCATTATTTGGTATCACCCACTGTTGTGTTTTTCCTCGTCGTTCTCATTAGTCTTTTCTCTTTGTTGTTTTTTGCTACCTCGACAGCTTTTTGTTTTATTTTTGTTAAAATAAATATTTTCTTATCCAAACTCTTACCTCCGTCTAGATTTGGGTTCTTCTCCTCGCAAAACGTGACATGTTTTTATCCCTATTTTTTTCTATATTTGTCTGATTTTATTCTGGTCCTCTTAGCATTATTTTTTGTTCATATACTGATGTACTCAGAGGAAACTGTTAACATCACATTGTTATGAAAATAACAAAAACTAAATATGAGTTTTTAGGGTATCTTTAGCCAAGCTAATGTTTTTTTTTTTCCTGTATTTTGATCTGTTGTGAATGGGGACATATTCGCCCCCTGGTGGTGTGATGGGAGTATTTCACCTTTTTGTTAGAGCACAACAAAGAAGAAACTGTCTGAAACTAGATAAGGGCTAGATAAAAGCCAAGTATAAAGACTCTTGGTTGGCTCTGAGGAGATTCTAGCAAACCATCTGATGGCTAAGGTGGGGGAAGCAGCACTTCAACACTGAGCTCAGTGAAGTTGGGCTGCTGTTGATAACCAGTGATGTCTTCAGGAGGTGGAAGGAATACCTCTTGGATCTTCTCAATTCTACCGACATGTCTTCCATGGAAGAAGCTGATGAACTCAGGAACCGGTCTTTCCATAACTGGAGCTGAGGTTACCAAGGTATTTAAATAGTGCCGTTGCAGCAGAACTCTGGGGCAGGACGAGATCCGCCTTGATTTCATTAAGGTTCTGGATGTTGTTGGGCTGTCCTGGTTGACACGCCTTTGCAACATCATGTGGACATCGGGGGCAGTGGATTTGCAGACTGGGGTGGTGGTTCCTCTCTTTAAAAAGGGGGGACTAGAGAGTGTGCTCCAATTATACCGGTATCAGTCTCTTTAGTCTCCCCAGTCTATTCTAGAAAAGAGAGGGTCCAGTCGATGGTCAAACCTCAGTTTCAGGAGGAACAATGCAGGTTCTGTCCTGGCTGTGGAACACTGGACAAGCTCTTTATCCTCCCTAGAGTTCTCAAGGGGTCATTGGGAGTTTGCCTATCCACTCTATATGGGTTTTGTGGACTTGAAGAAGGCATTTGACTGTGTTTTTTGAGGCACACTGTGGGGGGTGCTTTGTGAGTATGGGATTGTGGGTCATGTTTTATGGGTCATTCAGTCCCAGAGTTTAGTTCTCATTACTGGGAGTATGTCAACCCTGTCAGGGTGGGAGTTGGACTCCTCCAGGGCTGCCCGTTGTCACATATTTTGTTCATAGCTTTTATAGACAGAATTTCTCGGTGCAGCGGAGTCCAGTTTGGTGGTCTCAGGATTCCATCTCTATTATTTTCAGATGATGTGGTTCAGTTGGCATCATCATGCCGTGATCTTCAGCTCTTGAGGTGAAAAAAACCACGTCTTCTGGTTGAAGTGGAACTGCTGTTGCTCAATGAAGAGAGAACTCTGAAACAGGCTGGTTGAACAGCAAGAATCTTTATTTTGCAGTCCAGGAGATTACAGCCAAAAAACCGAATTGTGGCCTTCAAACCAAATGATTCACCAAGTAAGGAAGATGAAGAACAAAGACGAAGAGCAAAAGTACAAGACGAAGACGAGGTAGACTAGACAAAGTACAAGGCTTCTTTATAGGCTTCACAGATGTACCATAAATTTTGTCACGGCCCCCACTCCTGGACACTACACTCTCACCAGAGCAGTTCACAGCTGGGATGAGGATCAGCACCTCCAAAKCTGAGTCCATGTTCCTCAGTCGGTAAAGGGTGGATTGTTCTCTCTGGGCTGGGGGTGARGTTCTGCCTCAAGTGGAGCAGTTCAGGTATTTTAGGGTTTTTTCACGAGTGAGGGAAGAATGGAGTGTGAGATTGTGAGAGGAGTCAGTTGATGTGATCCAGGCATCTAAAAAGAAAACTCCCAGAGAGGTGCTTCAAGCATGTTTGACGGAGAGGAGACTCCGGGGAGGACCCAGGACATGTCCTGGAAACACCTTGGAATCCTGGAAGAGCTGGAAGAGGTGGCTGGGGAAAGAGAGGTCTGGACCTCCCTGATCAAACCGCTGTCCTAAAACCTGAAGATGGATGGATGGATGGATGGATGGATGGATGGATGGATGGATGGATGGATGGATGGATGGATTGACCTGAGTTTGTGTAAAGTAAAATGCTGACAACAAATAAATTAAATAAATTTAATGTTGATATTTAAAACAAATCACATTTTGTCATCACTTTGGTCAGTTATTGTTCTTAGAAGACAAAATATCACTAGTTCATTGTTTGACATGTTTCAGAGAAGAGTTCATAACAATATTTCTTCTTTACTTTCTATCTTTGCTGCAGGGCTGCAGGTAATCCTTCCAGGTTATTTACGAAGTCGCTTCATTCAGGCAGCGCTGGACTACATCGGCTGTAAATCTGAGGGCCGGTTTGTGTGCCGGAACAATGACTGCTGGTGTGAGTGTGGACCACACTTCCCACACTGTAACTGTCCTCACTCTGACCTGGACACTCTGGAGACCAGCCTGCTGCACGTCAGAGAAGCCTTAAGGCTGACAAACCTGGAGTTTGAGGAATCCGGTGAGTAAAAAAATTATTAGTTGTCCTTTCAAATAGAACTTGAAAATGTCAGCTCGAAGAGTGCTTTCACAAAAAGGGAAAAAAAAAACAGATGGCTTTTAATTCTCCCTCAGCACAAGTTGTTTTTCCAAAAAAAAAAAAACAATTTAGCTCTTAATGGAAATATAAAACAATTATTTTCTACTCTTATACATCACTGGTGCTCAGACATGTAAATTAATTAAAATATTGCAAGAAATAGATGCCCAGGTGACTTTGAGATGTTTGTGGAAGATGCTGTAAAAAGTCTATTTGTTTTTACTAAATAGGTCTAAAGCAGGGGTCCCCAAACCTTTTCCTCTGAGGGCCACATCACTTTTCCCTTCTTTGGTGGGGGGCCGGAGTCAGTTTGTAACAGAAAAAGTGTGACTATTGGAGGAGTCCCTAAATGTAAAAATTTATTGTTTTCCAGAAAACACAATCAAATAAGCCTCTCTGGGTTCTTCACAGTATGTATTCWGCTGAGCTAACAGTCCAYYTTTTWRSYT